TACTTTAGTTTATTCCGTTTCGAAAACTACTTCAAATTTTGATCAAGAAGCATAACATCACTTCTTACACTTATTTTTTTATAATAAGTGTATATTATATTTAATAAATTTAAAATTCTTTAAATAATAATATTCCAGTAATTTTCTTTAATCCTTCCGAAAATGAATATCAAAATGTTTCAAATGAGCACAGCCAGCATTTGGCACGATGCCCCGAGAGAGAACGGCTTTATAATCAATTGAGCTTTCAGCTTTTAATTATTGTGTGAAAATTTATAAGATTCACTTGTACACTCCACTGGGCAGATAGTCTGTGAAATTTAGGTTTACCGTTTTTGGATAGATTTTCTGACGTCAGCCACAATAACCAAGCCCAGGAACGCACCTCGTGGAGGTGAATTCATGGATTTGGAAAATATATTGATATATTGCCCCTTATACGTTGTCAGCAATTTTTAATGAAATACTGTTAAATAAAACATTGTCGTAAGGCAGTAAAATAATTTATAGATGCTAAAAGCTATATCTAATATTGCATAAGAATTATTTGACGTAGTAAGGCAAAAATGACTCAAGTCAAATTCATGTATAAAATAAAATAATCTTTGAGATGAAACCTTCTTAACGAACTACCATATGAAAAATATGCAATTGTTTAAAAGTAAAAAATCACAAGCAATGATTATAGGCACCAGGTTTACTCGTAAATTACTTGACTTTTCTTCACTGCCAACTCTGCAAATTAATGGCATTCCACTAAGCATTTCAGAAACGGTTAAGAATCTGGGCATCATCATGGATTGCAAGTTGACATGGAATGCACATATCACATATATTAATAAAATATCTGTGATATGAAAATATATTATACTTTTCATTCCTTAAAATGCCTTCAACATTTTCTGCCGATATCAACGAAGATTTCTCTTGTCCAAACACTTATTTTCCCGATTCTTGACTATGCTGATGTCTGTTATTTGGATGCGACTGAGGAGCAATTAAACAAACTTGAGCGCTTGCAAAACTTATGTATTTGTTATATTTTCGGACTAAAAAAGTATGACCACGTCTCCTCCTATCGCAAACAGCTCAAGTGGCTCCCAATCCGACTTCGCAGGAATACCCGAATCCTATGCCTCCTCTTTAACATACTATACAATCCAACATCACCACCCTATCTACGTGATCGATTCCACTTTGCGCACTCCCCCGATGCAGTTTGCAGATCACATTTAAAAACCCTCCTAAATTTCCCTTCCTCTAAAACTAAGTCCTATTCTCACTCTTTTACAGTACATGGAGTTAGGTTATGGAATTTTCTTCCTGCTGCAATTCGAGAGGCTCAATTAGTGTCCGTGTTCAAAAGGCGAGTCAAAGAGCACTATCTTTCTTTGTCGTCCCAATGATTATATATATAATATATTATTATATTTATATATGTAATATATATATATAGTGGTATTTAGTTATATATATGTTTACATGAATATTTGTTTTTATTATCTTTACTTTATGTTAAGTATATTAATATTATAAAATTTTATTATGAGAGTGCACACTAGATCAGCTTCTCTTTTAATTTGTCCAGTATCAGGCCTGCTGGAAGAAATTTCAATATGAAATAAGCAATGCCTTTGTACAAAATATCTTTTTTTTTTCTCTTCTTTGTAACATTATTTTGTGTGTACATAAATTATTAAATAAATAAATAAAATTACAAACATATCGAATGAAGCCACTTTCATCCAAACATCAAACATTCAAGTATATGTATATTTGTGCAAAAAATAGTTTCTTAAAAAAACCTGAAAGTTCAATAAGGCGCTTAAATAATTTATTATTTGAAATTAAGAACATGAAAAACCTATTTACGTATAATGCTTTACAAAATAAAAGGCCTTACAAAATAAAAACTATTTCACTTATCAGAATTTATCTTCCAGTCAAATTCATACATGAATCATTTAATTTGATAAAAAGAAAAGAAAAACTTTTTTTTAAAATAAGAATGTATACACGTAAGCGAATATTACCAGTCGAGCACGTAATCAGGACGACAAGAGCCACTGAACCGACCACTGGCCGCAGTCCTAATCTAGGTGCTCATTACGTTGTTCATATTACTGACAGTATAAGGGTACAAACCCACTTTACTTTATACACTTATCTAATCTAACCCTTAGATTAAAATTTATACTTTAAATCCGCAATGTTGGGTAGTTGTCACCATAATTAACAAAATACTAAAAAATATTATGATTTCAGTTCGCCGTATTTCATGACTGAAAATTGTTCAAAGACAAGAAATTATAGAGCATTTGAAGACAATCTTTAAGTATTGGACAATACATTTGAATTGTCGGATTGTGGAGATGAAATCTTTGTGAATTAATTAAAAATGAAAAAATAAAACCGCTGGGCCTTAAATTTCTGATAGGATTTTGGGGCAACGAAATGTACGCCACGCTGAATCAATGCGTGTTGGCGGTTTTCACATGTCTTCGAAATATATTTTTTTAATTTTTCAAATATGCAGGTTTCTTCACGATGCTTTTATTCATCGCTGAGCACGTGGTAAATCAGCACTTACTTTTCTACACAAATTGCAATTAACAATTTCATTGGTGAGGCTCGAACTCGGGTTGATGGTGTAGTGCAAATTTACAGCGAGTGCCTAGCCTCTGAATTACCAAGGCTCAGAATTGTAATTATATTTTTTATTATATATCAGTACACACTTGTCATCATCATCATCATCATCATTACAGCCCATCACAAGTCCACTGCTGAACAAGGCCTCCCCCAAGGAATCCCACAAAACACGGACTCGAGCCACCTGCATCCATTGACTTCATGCATGTCTTACCAGGTCGTCGCTCCATCTAGTGGGGGGATGCCCTACACTTCGCCTTCCGGTACAAGGCTGCCACTCAAGAACCTTTCTTCCCCATCGATTGTCGGTTCTTCAAGCTACGAGTATATGGCCGGCCCATTGGCACTTCAGCTTACTAATATGTTGGGCTATGTCGTTTACTCTGGTAATACTGCGGATATAGTCATTTTTAAGCCTAACACAGAGAAACTCCGAGCATAGCCCTCTCTATAGCTCGCTGAGCACTTGTCAAGAATGTTTAAAATAAAAAAGCAGAGGCAGTCATAAGGGCTGCTGACAGAAGTAAAAACGCAATGATATATGTGATATACATGAACACAGGCCGCTATACTACGCGTCGCTAGTCTGGCGCAAGCGCAATACGTCACGAGCATGTCAAGGCCATTGGTGACACGTACCCATAAGTGTTCTCCCACTAAAAACCGCTCTACGCGGCTAAAGAAGTTTTCACTTCAAAAAAATGTAGTAAAATATTCAATTATTCAAGTGTTTATTTGCTCACTATGTGTACAATAAGTTCTTAATATAAATCACAAATGGTACTTATCACTTAGTAAGCTCTTATAATATAAAGTATAAGGTGACTAACGATATAACATGATTATAAGTATTTTATACACTAAGCTTTGCATTTAAAGCTGCCTTAGGTCAATTTCTGAACTGTTGCTAAGAAACGTTAAAATGTTTTTATAACAAAAAAGAGAGATAAATGCTGGATTTACGGTGATAACATATCATATATCATAACAATGCCACTAAACTTTACCCTACTATTGCACAATTTGACGCTACAAACTGGCATTTCGTGCCTTAAATGAGGCTTTTTCACCAGCTGTGTATATAGTGCGTTTGTACGGGGTTATGTGAGCTATATTGTAATTTTAGTGTTTTCGTTTTCGTCACGCGTTACGCCTCGTGCCATATCTCCCTATCTGCTATTATGATCTGTAGTTAGGGCTTTACGCGTATGGTATCTTCTCCTTATCTCTGCATATTCAAAGTGCTACATTCTTTTTCATTGCAAAAATGTACGTCAATTTTAAATAATGGAAGTCATATTTTTATTAAAATATTCTTTATATTATTTAGTATTTATCTGCGATTTTTATTATGTGATTTTAATTGAATTTTATATTAAGGTAGGTACACAACTCCCTTCTTATTTCTTATTTTTTGTAACAACAATTCTTTGCGTAAGAAAATTGTTCTATTTTTTGTTGAAGTCTTTTTATGAAATGTTTAGTTAATTTTCGTTGGAGTGACGATGTGTGCTGCAAAGCACCCGAAACTTGGTAAATTAAAATTAAGTAAAACTAAACGCGATGAAATTGTTAATCTAGTCTTATTCTGTGTGTATGTTCGCGTAAATATAAGAAATGATTATTTTACTCTCTTAAATTATTTAAGATATACAGAACTTAATGATTACAACTATAATATCGTCTATATATGCCATATAATATTAATCCCCTATTTTCCCACTCTTTGGGAATTTTATAAATTTTAAAGTTTATGTAGAACCACCCCAGAAGGATAACTTATTGAACATCTTTAAACTTAAATTATTTCAGCCGTTTAAAAAAATGGTGAATATACACACAAAAAGCATATGCATCAAATATTTGAACTCGCTTAAAAACAACCGATCAAACGAGTGTTGAAAATTCACGTCAAGATTCCGCCCGCGTGGTATGGTAAATGTCAGTTTAACTTAGATATTTTTATTCTTAAGAATAAATTGTTCAAAATAACATCAAAATTCAATGTTTAAATAGTGTATAGGAAATAATTTTTTTACTTCTGTCAATGATCAGTATGTTAAAAATGTATCAAAATTTCAGAATTTTTTCTTCATATTTTATTCGCAGTAATTATCAGTTTTCTTTTTGGGTATATGGGAGGGGTGTGTTGCCAATCTTTTCTCCAATTTCCATCCTTTTCTCCAAATGCCAACCTCACTTGCAAGCAGTGATTCCTGCTTATTAATTAATAGAGCTCTTCTGACCAATTAATAACACATAATTCACAATTTCACAAATTTCATAGACTGTTGGTTGTAGCTTTACTAGTATGAAGCTGCTGGATCCTAACCATAATATTGTTTCAGGACATCATGGCACATCACGATCCCGGGGCTGGCGGGGAGGCGTTCAGCCATCAGCGGACGTGACAGCAAACAACTCCGTGAGCAATGTCACCGCACAGCTGGGGGGCACGGCCTACCTACACTGTCTGGTTGGACACTTGAGCGAGAGAGGGGTAAGTATTTTTACTCTTCAATATACTAAATATAATCTAGACGAAAAACTCGAGATATCGAAATCGAAATCGAATTTTATTTTATATGCAAGTATATAGAATAGTGAAAGAAATATATAATATATATATATATATATATATATATATATATATATATATATATTTATATATTTCTATATATATATTGGTAATAAGCAAGCACACATACTATGTATTGGAATGTAAATGCTGTGATTTATAGAAATCCTACATCTATCCACTTTACGAATCAAAATAGAAACGCATTCTAATCCTAGAATAATAAAATGGAATACCTCGTTACCATTTAAAAGGATCTCTAGATCTTGTCAGTCACTCGTCATACGAAACACTGCAGTGTTATGCTGTAATTTTACGCTGATATTTGTGAGTAAGTGGTCTTTACTCGATCAAGCTGACCCAGTCGTAGTGAGACAGAAATACAGTTGTGTACAGTTTGATCTACTAGGTTTAAAAGTCCCTGGTACTTAATATTATAAAGATAAAGCATAAACAAATGTTTAAAATCAGTACTAGTATCCTTATTGTCACCGTTACAGCCTACCAAAAGTCTACTCCTGAACATAGGCCTCCCCCATAGATTGCCCCATAGGGCGATATTCGTCATAGTTGCCATGCTTGACAGGAGGGACAGATTAACTTAAAAGTTAAAGGAAATATACAACTTATACCTCTGTGCACGTCCTCCTTTCATTTCTGAGAGCATTTAAGGGCAACGAAATCTCTTTTTTACAAATTATAAAGTCCAGCAGTAGCTTTTTATCGCGTAATAAAGCAGAAGAATTCATCCACTTATTAAATATCAAAAATTTTAACGTTTTTAATTTTTTACAGCAAGTGTCATGGATTAGAAAACGTGACTGGCACATACTCAGCTCCGGAAAATTTACCTACACGAACGATGAAAGATTTCAGGTGAGTTGTAAATTAGGCACATATATATAATTAGACTTTTTTAAATCTTTTCAATGAACGCGACGAATTTACATTTACGAAAATGTAATGAAAGTATGTACACGTTGCAAGTAGATATTAAATTTAAAAAGTATGTGTATAAGAACTTTAAATTTTAGACGACAGTAGCCGGCAGGGTACGAACGAAGATGTACGGAAGGTCGAGGGTTTGAACCACTCCCAACACAAGCATTTTAAGCTTAGCTGGAGTGGTGAAAGAGAATATTTGTAATGTTATTAGCATTACTAGTATTTAGTTTTAATTAAAAATAATTGTATTTGTATATTTTATACTACCTGTGCCCCGCGACCAGGCCCGTGTAAAATTTATTGCGATTGGATTTCATGGGTTTTAATGTTTTTGCACGGAACCCTAATTCTTTTCCTGAAATAAAAGAAACTTAAGTTACTTCTTATAACATCAGCTATCCGTTAGTCAAAGTCCTATCCAAATCGGTTGACAGGATTTTGCGCGATGCGTGATCAGACCGACGTCGGGTTAGAGTTTTATCACAGTAATGGATTGAAATTATTTTAAGTCTTCCCTTATCTTTCCCAATATAACTAATTAAAATATTAAATCGTTTGTAAGTAACAATTTTGTGACTAACTTAACTTTTGTTTAATAGTTCTGAGAACGTTAGAAGCTTCTAAAATAATGTGAGATATATAACCGATACACCTCTAAAATTATACAAACCTACGCCATATAAATCTCTGTGAGTCTTAGATGTGAAATTTTTACATTAAAGATACATTAAGTAATACGCATTGCATAAACTAGTAAGCTCGTTACTTTGCATAATTTTAACAAGCGATAATAGCCTAATGTTAAATTCAAATTCAAAGGTTTGAATCCGCATACTACTGTTGTGTACCACTCTAACTAGTGATCCTCTCCACCTTCGTGTGTCGTCGTGGTATTCTCTTTTTACAACTTGATTAGAAAATGTCAACATATCTCTACAACCCTTAATTTTTAAATTATGCTGTTTACTACATCAAAACCTTATAGTAATTCCAAATGTTTGAGCAAACGACCAGACTCGTATATGCGAAGTTTTGACGTTTGCTTTTGACACACTTAACACACCAGTTGTTAATTGATATTACGTTAATCACTTATAAATATTAATTAAAACTTTATCAATATACATGATTACAGAATGAAAATTACATGTAACAAATGTTCTGTTTAAATTAACGTTGAGCAAAGCTAATGAATATGTAATTCAACGACCACAAACTACGGTATAATTTAGACGAGAAATTGTCGGTAATGGCTAACGACCGGTCAATTGTCGCAATCGGAAAACTATTTGATTCGATATCCGCGCGCCGGGTAATGCTTTATGGGTAGTTTTAAATGAAATTGCAAGCGTTTTGCTCGTTTTTGCTCGGATATAAAGCGCTATTTCCGGCGCTTACACGCCAATGTAGAGAACGATTAAAATTTAAACCTTAATATATGTTTTAATTGTAATAAGTTTAGGACTTATTAGGGGTAAGGTTTTGCGTTGAATAAAAGTACTTTTACGAATTATATCGCATTTAATTTCAGGGGTACCATACATACAAAGCACTCCAAACGTCGAGAATTAAATTACGGTTAATTAAACGCGATAAAATTCGTAAAAGTAGTTTTATTCAAATTCAAAGTGTAGTGTTCGCATAAATATAAGAAATCATTATGTAAAATTTAAGATTTAAAATAATTTTGCACCATATTTATTGTTTTTCTTAAAACAGTTTAAATTCATTTTAGCAATAAATATTTTTTATATTTCACAAAAACCAAAGTTTTAAATGATTATCTGCCAAAGTTTAGAATTTCACTAGTATTTAGTTTTTGGTTTAACATTAGGTTCAAAATCTAGATATTATCGATTTTATATCCGTCACCATTAAGCTTAAAGCTAGAGCCAAGCTAAGGAGTTAATCCTATTTATTCCTTTCGAAGTGTTTTTATAAGTTGATGATAACAAACATTACGTATGTGTTTATTTTATTTATAAAAAAGAGATTCATCAGAACAACGATCATAAAATATTATCGGGTGATATTGTAAAATATTTCAGAACTATTGATATTAAGAAATCAGCAAATCTATGGGGAATATCCGTCTAAGTTTTTCATCTATAATAAATGCGATCACACCCCAACTTTATTATTTTCAATGCTAGTATCGATTCTGGTGTGTTTCCTGATATAATGAAACATAGTAAACTTTATTTAAATCTGATAGTACATTGGACCCCAATAATTTTATAATCTACTTCTGTAATACCAACGCGAAGTAAAATTTAAAAATAAATGTTCTAGGTCAAATTTTAAATTTTTTTAACGTAAATAAATCGCCCTATTAAGTCGGTTTGTATCAACAAGGGTAGCTCGACTACTGATGCCAGTGTTAAGCTAATCAAACATGTATTCTGTGCATGGAAGAATTCAGAAGATGCTTTGGGTATATTTGTAATCTTTCCAAAGCTTTAGACTGTGTTCACCATGAGACATTAATCAGGAAGCTATAACATTAAGATGTAAAAACATAGCGCTTAAACTTATTATGTCACTTTTAAATAATAGAATGCAAGTATTTGTTACTGATGGGCGTAGTTCTTCCGGATCGGTAGTATCTATAAGTGTTCTTCAAAGCTTAATTCTTGGCCCCTTCTGTTCATAATTTATATTAATGACTTACCTTACTTGGTAGGGAATAATCATGATATAATATTATATAACATGATATTATATTCTGATGACACTTCCTACATCAAAACTCGTTAGCAAACTTAGTTCTGCAGCATATGCTGTAAAAATATTAGAGGCTTTACACGTGTTGAAACAAGTAGATTAGTTTATTTTAGTTATTTCCATATCATAATGTCATATGAAATCATGAAAAATATTCTACGCTCGACTGTGGCCGGCTTCACTCGGTCACTGTGACGTAGGCGCGGGATCCGAAGCTCGTTGTCGTCCAGAACAAGCAGCAAGCAGGTGTCGTGCAGCTGACGTGAAGCACTAACATTCCGAGAAGTCTGCAGTTTCTGATCATATCCTAGACGGCCCCCGCCCTTACATTAGATTTGATAAACCACAAATTCTCGCGAAAGAACATCGATTCCTGCCAAGGATGATACGTGAGGCTATTGAAATTAAAAAACATCCTAATTTCAATAGAGAGGGAAGCTGGGTACTACCACCTGATTGTGATCCTGTAATTAATAAAATTTAAACTAAACCCAAGAATACCACTGCAAGACTTCAAGACACAGTAAGTTCATTCTGCGTAGATCGGACCAAAATTAATAATTAAAAAAGCTGAAGGTACTCTGTTACAATGTTAACTCTGACATTGGAACGTCAATCACCTCAGTCCCCCGTGACCACGGGTGCTGTAAAGCACCCGAAACGTCGGGAATTAATAAAAATGAGATAAATAAGTTATTTAAATGCGAAAAAATCCGTAAAAGTAGTTTTATTTAAAAAAAAAAAACATTAAATTTAGCCTGTCATTTACGAAATTTTTATGTATGTACACAAAAACAAAAATAGTTTTTTTTTAAATAGCGATGTACATTCTGTAAATACTAGGAAAAAGCACAGGTTAGTTATAACAGTTACTCGACTCCAAACAGTCAGTTATTCCTTTATGGGGCAATGTATACGCTTTTACAACAAAGTTCTAGAAAATATGCAGGCTTTATCTATTCAAAGGTTTAAAATATTTATTAAGCAAAAATTATCTGGCATAATAAGACTACAAAGTAATACATGATTTATAATAACCCCTGGGAATGAGGTGATCGCTACCATGAAGTTTCTAAATATTATATTATAAATTGTGTTCTTTAAAAAAAGTCCCGCTGGGTTCCTTGCTGGTTCTTCCCAGGACAGAGATTTTTTTCCGAACCAGTGGTAAAAGTAAAAAATTACTATAAATAAGTATTAAATTTTGATCTATATTGAATAAAAGTTATTATATTCTATTCTATTCATCCTAATCATCATGTTCAACAACTGCTGAACCTAAAGAAATGTTCCTACCCTAAAGAATGCCACAATGCACGGCCCTTAACCACCTGCATCCATCGATTCCTGTATCTCTTAGCAGGTCTTCACTTCATCCATTCGCTTACCGGTACGAGGCTGCCACTCGATTATCTTTCTTTTATTTCTTTCTTGTCGGTTTTTAAAGCTATATGGCTGACCCATTGCCACTTCTGCTTACTAATCCTATGTCGGTTACTCTAGTTCTACTGCAGATATCCTCATTTCGAAGTCTGTTACGCCAAAAAAGCTCGGGGTGTCGTTTTTTAACATCAACCATTAGATCAGATTAGTATAACTTCATCCTTAATCTACGAATAAAATACAATACCAAAGTAGTTGTTATGGAAAACCCCTAACAATGTTCATATTAGATAATAAGTGTATAACAACTTAATTATAAATATATTACTTACACTAGCTTAATTTAACATGCGTTACGGTGACGCAACAAAGTGGTCTGCGCTCAGTATAAGTTGCGGGTACCCACACTACTGGTTTTCAGTGTAGCCCGTGTTTTATTTGAATTCACTGGCAGACCGCTTTCAATATTCGCTTAATACTGCGGCATATATACATTTTAAATTTCCACATTTTATTTTCATAGAATAAAGGTGACAAGCAAGCACACAGTCCACCTGATGTTGAGTGGATGCTTTGAACCATACATATCTACGTCTATTCTCGATTAAGAATCAAAATGTAGATACTTTATCAACCCCGAGGACTTAGATGAAATGCCTCGTTTCCAGAAAAAAAAGAGTCTCTGGTTCTCTACACTCATCATACGAAACAGCCTAATCTAACCTAAGTTCCTTACCGCCCTTATAAAAACAAAATTATTTCAACGTTGATAAATTTCATGTAAAATATTAGGCACAGGACATATTCATGATGAAATGTAGCCTGTAAATTTATTTAGGCCCCAGCCTAACTCTTTGAAAAACGATTATTTAATAATACGATTGATTTAATTGATTTATTACATATTTATGATTTATTAATATAGATTTTAATTTAATAGAATAAATAAGTCGTTAATAGGTAACAAATAGACAGACAGAGTTAATTTCGCATTTATAATATTAGTGGGTGATACTCTGGGTGAGTGTGGATAAACTTAAACAAATATAAAATTTGCAGGTCCTACATGGTGAAGGCTCCGAGGACTGGACTTTGCAAATCAAATTTGTTCAGAAGAGAGACAATGGTACCTACGAGTGTCAGGTAAGTGGTATATTATACTACCAAATAAAAATACAACTGGCATTAATTTTATACGTCGTTTATTCGTTTTTATTTAAATTCCTTTGTTTAGAATTCTGTTTATCTATCAAATAAAAACACACATCAACCCTAATAAATGACATGATGTCGGTAACAATGCCGTGTTAGAATTAATTCAAACGTTCATTGTGGACCTAGCAAACAAAATTAATCATATTAATAAAAGGAATATGTCACTCCCCATTGTTTGTCACTCTTTCATTGCACGTGTAAGTGAATGTCATTAAGATTTTAAAAAGTGCTTAATAGAAGTAAGTTAGAATTTAATTGGATCAAGCCCAATGTTTTAAACAGTAATTAAAAATCCCGACTGCGAACACAATAGAACAAAGATGAATCTAAAGACTACATGTATTACTAGACTAGTCTAGACATATATGTTAAAATCCATCAAGTCTTTAGGCTACAGAACGTGTCAAAGTATAGACATACACTTGAAATACGAGTACATTACCCTCCTTATGTGTCAGTCGACAGTCTAGTAAAGATTTAAGTAAAATGTTACTAGCTATAATTGCCTGTAAGATATATTACTACATTTATTTTTAAGTAACATATTACTTCAAAATATTAATTAAAATATATTAGCAATTAATAAAATTACAAGCAATTTATAATTTTTTTCTATAATGATTATTTATGTAACGATCGCTAGGAGCTTCCCGGGTGCGAACCTTTTAAGTTTATTATGCCGCTGTATCTTTTTCCCTCGTGTAAATCTGGTTGTGATCTTTACAAATTTTAAATATCACTGTTCGTGTGCGCGTGCGTGTTCGTGTTCGTGTGTGTTTATGTGCGTACGTGCGTTCCTGGGTATGTCCGTGCGTGCGTGCGTGCATGCTTGGATGCGTGCGCGCGCGCTTGTTGTGTGTGTGTGTGTGAGTGTGTGTGTGTGTGTGTGTGTGTGTGAGAGAGAGAGTGTGTTTATTAGTCTTAATGGCACAAAAAATTATCACCCTATTAGATTATATTAATCATTTATATTTCTAGAGCGATTTATGAGACTATTTTTTGCTTTAAAATTTAATTTTTAAACGTTACAAGAAACAAATATGCTTAAAAGATATACTTAACTATACTGCGAGTATTTAGAGTAACACAGAATATTATGCAAACATGCACTTCACCGGCATTTTGAAAAGAGGATATATAATAAATCATACTTTAACCCTAACACACAAACATGTACAAATTTGTTTTAGGTAATGAATGTTTACTGAACGATTATTTATGCATTTTCAGCATACAAACGCAGGTGTATACTAGTTCGGTCGTTTAATAATACAGCTTTACTATTACATATTCTATTCGTATTTGCAGAAGATTATAACATAAACGACTATTCACATTTCAGGGATTAGAGGTCGATAATCCATTTTGAATTTTGCTTTGAGAGCATTAAAGTTAGGCGCAAAACCACTGGGAATTATATAGGGTTTAGCTATTAAATTTTACATTTGAGATGTGGATGCTGTATCGTTTTGACATTATTAGATTTAAAAATATATTTAGCATATCTAAAGATAAATCATTGGAATGTTTGGTCATGTTAGTTGACATTGCATTGAGTGAATACATAGTAGAATAAAGTTAGTAAAGTATAATTACAGCGTGCATACGTCCTACTGCTGGCACATGCTTTCTCTTCTAAAATTTCTATTGAAAATTTTTGCGGTGTCGGCGGGGAAAGTTTCACTTGGGTTGCCCGCGTACTATGAAATTTCCAACGCACGCTTATTTACTACGGCTCCCTCACCCTCTCTCTTTCTCTCTCTCTCCCTTTCTTATTCTTTTTTCTTTTTCACTAGCTCCCTCTCCTTTTTATGGAATAGGTAGTTTTAAAGTATCAACTTTTATTTTGAATTAATATAATATTTTCAACAAAGTTAGGTAATATATTAAACATAATATTTTATCTACTCTCCTTAAAATTCTAGAAAACAATATTGTAAGTAAAAGCAGTATAACAATTATTGTAGTGCATTAGCAATTTCTAGATAAAAGCAAACTTTTGAAATGCTTTTGTTAGAAAACACAACTTTATATTTCTAAAATAACAACAACATATTCCATTAAATACTACCGACCCACCTAATTAAGTTTCATCACAATCAGTTCAGCAATTAAGGCTTGTAGTTCGGAAAGACAGACAATTCAGTTTTATTTATATGTACAGATAAACTCAATTTAAACAATAATCCCCCAAAATTAATAAATTACTTGTTCTTTTGATGTTCTGTTTACACGTCATCATCATTATTAAAGCCCATCACATGTCTGGTCTGGCACAAAGCGCTTCTTTCGAAGCTTCCTTCCTATGGGCTTCCCGAGAAATTGTACAATTGGATCACCAGTTTTCTGCCTGATCGGAGCATCCAGGTCGTAGTAGACGGTGCATGCTCCGATTACAATCCTATTAATCCTATTAGTGCTCTTAGGAATTGTTCGGACTAATTTCAGCCGCTCAGTTTCACCATCGCACATCGCGATAAAACTCGCGATACCATCCATACTATCGATTACCACCAGTGATTTTTCCGACCGATACAACTTAGGTACCTTCAATAAATGAGCCTACTCCTTTTTAAAAGTCACTTACCATGAGGTGAGCCACATGCCCCATATCTTATAAAAAAAAGTTTACTGCTGAACATAGGCCTGCCCCAAGGAATACCACAAAGCACGGTCCCGAGCCAGGTCGTTACTCCATCTAGTGGGGGGACGCCTTACACTTTGCCTGCCGGTACGAGGCTGCCACTCGAGAACCTTTCTTCATCATCCTTTATCGGTACTTCTATATATATGGCTGGCCCATTGCCACTTCAGCTTACTAATCCGTTGGGCTATGTTAGTTACTCTGGTTCTACTGCAGATATCCTTGTTTTTAAGTCTGTCACGCAGAGAAATTCCGAGCATAGCCCTCTCCACATAGCTCGCTGAGCGACCTTGAGCTTCCTCATACGGCCAGCAGTGAAGGACCACGTCTCAGTTCCGTAAGTCATCACTGGCAACACGCACTGGTTGTACAATTTCGTTTTAAGGTTTTGAGGTATGTCTGACGAGAAGATGTGTCGTAGCTTCCCGAACGCTGCCCAGCCGAGTTGAATCCGTCGATTGACCTCTCGGTCGAAGTTGGACTTACCTAGTCGGACTATTTGTCCCAGGTAAACATACTCGTCAACAACTTCGAGCTTAGTGCTCCCAATAACTACCGGCATAGGTGTGACATGGACATTAAACATGAACATTGTTTTGTCCATGTTCATCCTAAGATCTATTCGTTGGGAGACACTATTGAGGTCATTGAGCATAGTGCTTAGGTCCTCCAGTGATTCTGCCATAAGGACTATATCATCGGCAAATTGAAGGTGAGTATGTACTCGCCATTGACGTTAATACCGTATCCACCAAATCAGTCCAGTAGCTTGAAAACATCTTTCAATGCAGCGGTGAAGAGTTTCAGGGATGTGACCCCTCTCCAGTTGAATAGGTTTTGTACTCTGGTACTGTACTCGGATAGTCACCGTAGCCCTACTACACAAACACTTCAGCACTTGGATATACTGACAGTCAACTTGGCACCGCTTAAGGGATTGCAGCACCGCCCAGATTTAGACGAATTTAAAGGCTTTCTCATAGTCGCTATACACAAGACCAAGTAGGAGATTGTACTCTTCGATCTTCTGCGTAATTTTCCGAAGGGTAATGCGTATGTGGTCTATGGTGCTAAAGCCTTGAACAACAAGACTGCCACACTTTGCTTCACGCCTCCGGAGTAGTGTCACCACGAAGGACGGAATTAAAGAGCTTCAAATACCGTTTTTCCATCCGCTTTAAAAAGCTCTGCTGTAATTTCATCGACCCGGGGACCTGCCGTTTTCTACCGACTTCAAAAAGGAGCCGGTACTCAATTCATCTGTATGTTTTTTATGTGTGTTACCTCATAACATTTTACTGGATGAACAGATTTCGATTATTTTTTTTAAATGAAAGCTGGTGCTTCACATGTGGTCCCATATAAATTTGATCAAGGTCTGACCGATAGTTTTTGAAATATTCTTAATAATTCATATTGAAGTAATGTACAAATTTTTTAATTTTAAATTATTAAAGTGCTGGAGAGCCATTCTAATCTCGCCCAGACTGACTTCCGGGATATCTTCGTATTAGTGTCGAATAAGACTTGCTCTTGGGTCACTACTTACTTTTTGTAGCCCTGGTTCTGCTTGATCGCTTCTTTAATACGAGCAGAATAAAAATTGCTTAGGTTTTGCCGCATGCAATTGGAGACGGCAGCTTCATTTCCCATCTAACAGGCATGAGATTAAGTGTGATCGGAGTGTTTTTGTGTTCTACTGCGGCGGGTCTTGCAGAATTTACGGATCTTTGGTACTTTGGACCTCAGCACGAGAGGTCGGACGGAGCGTTGACTTCATTAGACGAGACCTCTCCAACTTTACGTTAAAGTTCAGTGTGTCTCTAAACATTCGGTGATCGCTACCAGTTTTCACCCTCGCGATCACTGAGCCATTACTGAACAGTTGCAATCTAGTCGTCATAATGAAGTCAATCTCATTTTTGTCGAACCGTTGAGGCTCGACCAGGTCCACTTCCTGTGGGGCCGCTTCTAGAAGAAAGAGTTGATAGTAAAGAGCCCCTTCGATTCCGTTGCCCCATATTAAATTTCCCCTTCTTCAGCTCACCGTTCTCTCTTGGGCCTATTTTTGCGTTGAAGTCTCCCATTAACACCGTATAGTGGGTTTTGAAGGAATGCATGGCTTTAGAGGTATCCTCATAAATTTCTTCCACGTCATCATCGGGATAGGCGGAGGACTTACAACGAATACCGTTTGGCGATTCTGAGTTTAAGGAACGCAACCCTCATCGACACACTCACAATCTGTACGTTGTTAACAAGATACTTCTGGATGATAAATCTG